GGGGGGATGGTCTCCAGGCTGAGGGCAAGTCTACCAAGTCCCCATTGACCCCCAAACTCTGTCCCTTATTGTCGCACCCCTGCCTTCTCTGATGGAGCTGCCTGTCGTCCCCTGGGGAATCACTGGCTCCCCAAGGCTTATCTGCTGCTGCTTAACGAGGTTTTTATTTACAAAACTCCAGGGGAACACCGTCCGAAGGGGAAACAGGTGCATGAGGAATATTCTACTCCCTAAGATCCAGAACCCATCTCTCACACCGTGCTATAGACGTTTGGGTCTGCGAAACCAACACTGCCTCCAAAAGCAGCCCTCCAATGTTCGGCTCACAAGCAACACGAGGCTGCGAGAGAAAAGGCACGTGTCTGCAAGAGGTTTAGAAGGTATTTACAAAACCGTCCACCAGCTTCCGGGCATGGTGCCTTCTTCCAAAGCTTTGCAAAAACGGACCGTGGGTTATGCAAGACACACAGCAAAACACTTCTTCACGGCATCCCTAGGAGGAAAAGCACAGAGATAAATGAGAGGTCATCACCCCAAAGGCCCCATAAGCGGTAAAGCCCCTCCTTTAGATTTCCAGGGTACCCAGAGTAGCACCCTGCAGAGCAGAAAGCACCTGCACTACGGGGTCAATCTACCTGGCACCAAACCTCAGCTCCAAATTAGTGTTACTGTGGGCAAGTTATTTGTCTTGCTGAGTTTCAGATTCCTCATCTGTAAAAGGGGGTGTCCCTCTCACCCTAAAGACCAGCCGCAGGAACGAATACACCGAACAGAGTAGGTATTTAATAACTGATAGCCATTCATGATAACCAAAGGAGAAGACAGGGGAAAAAGTAGAGATTATCAGAAACCAAGAGTTTAGGACTGTGTGTTTTAATATCAACCAGAATCACTCTACGCGCTGAAAACATTAGATCAAATAGTCACCAGGGCCTTTCTTCGTCCTAAGCAAGCAGCAGAAACCTGCGAAGGGACAGCTGTCAGGAGCTCCCTAGCATAGGGGGCTCTCCAGAGTGACTGAGGGTGTATTAACCTGCTGTATTAGGCCTGCACCAGGCACCTACTCCTCAGAACTCAGTGTCCAGCGTGGAAGGAAAGAGTGGGTACCCAATTACTGTCCCAGCCCCACCAAACCCGGCTGTGTGCCAGGGCTCCCACCCCGGTCCCTCTGCTCTCCACTGCCCCTACACCAAGGATACTGGGAGTCACGGAGGCAGGCAGGGGTAAGTGCATGCATTTGCATGAGCAGGCGCTGTGTCTTAGTACAAAGATAATTTCTAGAGCTGCATTTCTTACGATATGTTCTGTCCTGTAGTCCTGGGAGATGCTCTGCACAAGAAAGGGTTTTACAACCAAGTAAGATCCCTCATGGCAGCCGACAACACACACAACATATTCAAGGACCCGGAACGACCACCTAATTTTGCTTAACCTCTACCCAAACGTATCTGACCACAGAAGCCTTTTCCACCACATAACCACTATTTCTGTGAAACACTGTGGGAGCGCAGGGCCCCTCTCTGTGATTCCTGCCCTACTAGTCAGCACACGAAATTCACTGCTACAAGTAGCTTTCTATCATTCGGTCATCACTTGTGCCTAAGCTCCAGAAATGCCGATCCAGGTCAAGTCTGCAACCCTTGAAGAACGGCACCATGCAGGCCCAGCTTCATGGGTAAGAGACGTGTAGAGTTGCACCGGGCCGCCTACTTCAAAGGTTCCACGCCTAGGTTAATGCCCCGTGGTTGCCATCGCGAAATCCTCCGTCATCTTTTTAACAAGGAGCCCACATTTACATTTTGCACCGGGCCCTGCAAACTAGGCTACTGGTCCGGGCACGATGACACGTTCACCCTGTTGGCAAAGCTGGTAAATACCCCACTGGAGGCTCAGGCTTATTTCATGCAAAAACCTAGTTTCCCAAGACAGCCCCCCATCTCCCCGAACCGGCTGGGTCAGCAGGCTGAATTTTCCTGTTATTCCCCTAGAACCCGCTCCCGAGCCACACGGCTGCCCTTGTGTTGATGGACTTGTGAACCTCTCGTCGGACACCCCCCGGCGTCTTCAAATCCCTGTCAGCAGCACACTCAGAATGCGTGAAGACGCGGGGCTGCTCTCCCTCCTTCCCCGCTCCCATGCGATTTTTCTTCTCCACGGTTAAGGAAAAACCTTCTTTTTTTAGTTGACAGGTGGTGACAGATGAGTGGAGATCGAATGGTTGCAGGAGAACAGAGTCAGGCAAAGATCACAGTTTTGAGAGGCCCGTGGCTGAAGTGCCAATTGAAGGCGGTGTGGAAGCTGGAAGGGGGGGGTGATCTGGTCCAACGCTCTGCTTGTCCACTGAGTCCACTAAGGCCAGAGGGGTCCAGCAAGTTGCCCGAGGTCACACTGCTACTTAGGAAACCCTGGTCCTGCGAGAACTGGCCCTGCTTATATTCCATCTGTAAACTCCTCTCAGACACTCTCAATGACACCGCGAGAAAACGGGCCTGAGCTTAGACACCCCCCACCCCCGCCCGCCTTCCTCGGTGATATTAAAGTGACGTTCCCCTTGCAGATCTCCGCAAAGCTACAAGTTACAAAGAGTGATCGTGTGCACAAACACACTCTGTATCACAGGAGAATGTTCACGCCACCGGAACTGGTGGTCCTGGGTCAGCGCCTGTTGTCCCTGAAACATGGGGGAGTGGGGTGGAGAGGGCCCTCGGCTTCCTAATCTACAAAACAGGTGTATGACATTTACCTGTTTGTCTCAAAGAATTTCAATGAAGGTAATATGTGCTCTCTGAAAGCGCTCTGAACTAAACGCCCTTTGCGAACATACCGTCAGCCCCAAGGGATGGAAGTTACAGTCCGAAATACAGTCTGTCTTACCTTGCATACGGAATGAAGGAAAGGCTATACCTGCAACGAAAACAAACACAAGTGGAAATGAGACGGAGGGAGTGGAAGATCGCACACCGGGAGGAACGGGCCCTGAGCTGTGACCCTCTCCCTCCCCAGCGTGCAGGCCACACACGCACACGCACGCTCGCACCCACACGTGAACGCGAGCTGTGCCACACGTTCAGGTGGGGAGGGAGGGAGGGTCGTCTGTGGCCAAAGAAGGGCAGAAGACCCATGTGGAACAACCCTGTCCCCTCAGCCTCACAAGGTCACCGCTGTAACCAAATGAGCCAGCAGATCCCACATATCCAAGTGGTACAGAGCCCTATTCTGAAACAGTACCAAATAAAACCCTGATCACTTGTCCTCTAATATTTACAAATCCTCGACAGAGTGTAACTGACAGGGATAATTTTCTGCTCTGCTCCTATTAAGCTTGAAAGATAAGAGAACAGAAAGAAAAAAACCCACGACCAACTGCTCAACGGATAAAACCATAAGCAAGCTATGCTATGATTCTTCGAGAGCCCAGTTGGCTCAGCCCCTTCTGAGAGGAGGACCCCGCAGGGAGGAGGCCACAACCCTAACGGACCAGGCCCGTGTGTCAGGCGGGGAGTGAGTTGGTCGGCCCGCAAAGAGCGCAACACCGTCGGTCCTGGCACGGATATGGCCATCTGCCTGCGCCCGTATGAAGGCCGAGCCTCTGAAAACTGGATTCGAATTCAGTCTATCAGAAAGGCATGTGCGTGTGGGTACCAGTTTCGGCCCCCAGAAGAAACCACAATAAAGCATAAGTCATGAAACCTGACCCTTTCGGCACCTACTCCCGGAACGTGTGTCATTAAAAACCAGGCCATCGTTCTTCTTATATTCCCCGTACACGGAAGCTCGTTCACTTGTGGACACAGCAAATCCCAAAAAGCATTTGGGAAGTCTATTTATTCAGAAGTCCAAAATCACGAAAGGGAGGGAGGGGTGCTCAGCTTGCGGTCTGGCGAGCAGGGGCACAGCCATTCCGCGGCCCTGTCCCCTTTGCCCTAGAGCAAACCCTCTTACTTTCCCAAGTGGATCAGCACACCATAGAAACTGCTGAGGCAGGCATGAATCGTCCCCTGACAAACTCCAGAAGTACTACAGAAACGTCTCAGAAGCCATCGATTCCACCACCCTCTCCCTCCGATGTTGGACCCGTCTGAAAGGGCCCGAACCTGCAGCCCCACCACCGGCCCCCAATAACGGGGTCTCCAGCGCCCGATCACCGAGCGTGGCTCTTGAGCGACAGCACCCCGGCCTTGCCAACCGGCCTCCAGTGCACATGCTGGTCCCACCGCCCACAGCCGCGTGGCTTTCCATTTCACCATTCACCTCCTGCTGACAATTCCCTCTTTGTGCTTCCGCTGAATGACTCATTCCATCACAAACGTAACATCACGACTTCCGTACCACTCTCCTTTCCTTCGATGTCTCCCTGACTCACAAGCCTCCTCCTACCAGCCCCTGTAACGCTTCATCGTCCTTGCTCTGACCGGACATAAGTGACTGAGTCACATTTACCACATCTCAAAATCAACCGTGAGCCCCGCACAAAAATGCCGCACCGGGCAAACGATCGGCCTCCCCTGGCCACCCAAGACCACTAATGCCACCTGTTGGCTCCGGGGCCTGACTTCACTCGCACCATGGAGAATCCTTAAGTTGAAAAGTGTCTGTGTCTTTCTCTCCTCCTACCCACACCACGTGGAGTTTAATCTCCTTCAGCTGCACTAGTCAGAGATGGAGGTGGGAGGGGGCTACGTAAAACAGCACTTACCATGTCAGGGCCAAGGACTGCAAAATGCAGAAGATGAGAGCGAGCCCCTTGTTATGCCACTGAAAGAAAACAACGGTTACCACACGGTGCGTGACGAGGGGCATAAACCAGAAAGGGCCAGGGAAATTAAAATGCACACTCACCCAGAAGGCAGAACACAGGGTGAGTGTAAAACACAGCTAGAGAGAGAGGGAAAACACGAATTAATACAGCAACAACACGGAGAAAAATACTGTTAAGACTTCACCGTTGGCAAACGTTAACGATGCTTCTCCTGCTGCAGTGACCCGATTCCGTGATAATCATGGCAACCGAAGGCACCCTTCATTGCAAAGCACTGGACCCACGTGGAGGCTTGCGAGTTACTCACGTTTGGCAGAAGAGTTAAAATCCCCAGGAAATGAAACCGGCCAGTAAGAACTGATGTGGATTAAAAAGAACTGGATTGGGGTGCCTGGGTGGCTCAGTCGGTTGAGGGTCCGACTTCAGCTCAGGTCGTGATCTCGCGGTCCGTGAGTTCGGGCCCCGCGTCGGGCTCTGTGCGGACAGCTCAGAGCCTGGTTCGGATTCTGGGTCTCCCTCTCTCTCTGCCCCTGCCCTGCTGTGCTGTCGCTCTCTCTCTCAAAAATAAATAAACATTAAAAAAAATTTAAGGGGAGTCTGGGTGGCTCAGTCGGTTAAGTGTCCGACTTCGGCTCAGGTCGTGATCTCACAGTCCGTGAGTTCGAGCCCCGCATCGGGCTCTGTGCTGACAGCTCAGAGCCTGGAGCCTGTTTCAGGTTCTGCGTCTCCCTCTCTCTGACCCTCCCCCGTTCATGCTCTGTCTCTCTGTCTCAAAAATAAACATTAAAAAAAAAATTTTTTTTTTTAAAAAAGAAAGAAAGAAAGCAGACCCGTGTCAGAAAAACAGATGAAGGGGGCCACTGGGCAGCTCAAGCAGTTAAGCGTCTGACTCTTGATTTCCTAATTACCGCTCAGGTCACGATCCCATCATTTGCGAGATCGAAACCCACACGGGGCTCTGTGCTGACAACCCGGGGCCTGCTTGGGATTCTCTCTCTGCCCTTGCCCCCGCCCCCACACTCCCTCTCTGTTTCCGGGTTCTTCCCGCTAAGCTCTGCCTGTGCGTGGCTTCCCCCGTCCCCAGGAGGGTGTCCCAGCTCTCTTACTACCACATCAGTACGGCCAATTTCACAATCCCTCTGGGGTGCAGAGCCGGCAGGACCCTAACACCAACTGCCACAGCAAGGGGGTAATTATCAGACCCCGAATTCTCCCTGTATGACGGTGGCTACCAGCATCAGGAAGTGAGTCAAGACGAAAGGAAAACGAAAAGCAGTCTTTAGGTTTAAGACAAGAAAAATCCCATACGGCGGAAATAAAAACGGCCATTTGACAAGCGCAGCTAAAAGGCAGACCTTACCAGCACCATGACAGTCGCAATCAGGCGCGTCGGCTCGAACATTCGCTTCAGCTGTTTCATGGGCCCCATGAGGAAGACGGTGCTAAGAGGGAAACGTACACACGCCTTCAGCCCAGAACGGAACCCCAAGCTGCCCCCCCATCCCCTCCCCCAAGGTGACTGGCAGTAATCACAGCAGTCAGAGCAGCCGACGTGTGGGGGCACCTGGGGGGCTCGGTCGGCTAAGCGTCCGACTTCAGCGCGGTCATGATCTCGCAGTCCGTGAGTTCGAACCCCGGGTCGGGCTCTGTGCTGACAGCTCTCTCCACCCCTCCCTCACCTGCACTCTGTCTGTCTCTCACATGCCATCATGTGAAAAGTTCTCACTACATGCCAAGTGCTGTGCTTAAGGGCCTCGGGTGCATCACTGTCACGGAATCCTTCGCCAACTGTGGGGCTGACGACAGGAAAGCATCATACTTACTTGGCAGATGACAAAACTGAATGGCGGAAGGATCTGTTACCTATCCAGGCTCCCCCCCACCCCAACCCCGGCGCATCAGGCAGTAAGTGCATGGAGGTCTGTCGCAGCCACCAGGTCAGAGGACCCCTCTAAGGGGCGCTGCCTTGCCTCCTTACCGTCCTACCCATGGAAACAAATGAACAAACCAAACACTCGGGTACTTTTAAAAAGAAAAACCACAGGGACGCCTCGGTGGCTCAGTCCGTTGAGCGGCCGACTCTTAATTTGGGTTCAGGTCATGATCTCAGGGTTGGGAGATCGAGCCCTGGGTCGGGCTCTGCACTGAACATGGAGCCTGCTTCGGATATTATTTCTCTCTCCCTCTGCCCCTCTCCCCTGCTTGCTCTCTCTCTCTAAAAGAAAAAAGAAAAAAAAAAAGGAAAGCCACATCTGACAGGTGGAGGTTGTTTAGGTTAAAAAGTAGCACCTTTCATTTTCTTTCATAATCTGCAGAGAATAATTCTACAGGTGGTATCATCTATTATTTGTTCAATGTTTGCTAGATGCCAGATAGGACATCCCCGACCTCATTCCATCCCTCAGCAACTATGTGAATTAGGTGTTATAACACTTATTTTCAGATATGAGAAAACGAAGCTTAGAAAGGCTAACTTACTTATCCACAATCTCACAGTTAGGAACTTCAAGAGCTGGCATTCAAACCCCCATCTATTGGATCCAAAGCTCCAAAAGAAATCCCTAGTGTGCTTTCAGGAGGAGTGGAACTTGACAGGTGGCCTGTGAGAGGAACCACACGCAGACCCTCATGCCTAACCCCTGAGGGTCATATCTGTCATGTGTCTGGCTTCCTGGCAGAAATGCCCCATGTGGCGTCACCCTGGGGAGTAACTGGTATTAACCAGTGTTTAACAAGCCAACCGGCAGATAACATTAGCTACTGGGTGATGGTAAAACAACAAATTTAAAACATAGGTCTATATCTCTGTAAACTGCCAGTAACTTTCAACCTGAATTCATAGCTGTGCTCTTTTTTTTTTTAATGCTTTATTTATTTTTGAGAGAGAGAGAGAGAGAGAGAGAGAGGGAGAAAGCAGGAGGGACGGAGAGGGAGACACAGAATCCGAAGACAGGCTCCAGGCTCTGAGCTAGCTGTCAGCACAGAGCCCGACACGGGGCTCGAACCCACGAACCGCGAGATCGTGACCTGAGCCGAAGTCGGACGCTCAACCGACTGGGCCACCCAGGCGCCCCACATAGTTGCACTCTTAAGTATTTTAGCCAACAGTGAACAAGGAGAGCCAAGGCTGGCATTCAAAATTAAGTGCAGCATACCTAGGAAAATATAACACATTATAGGCAAAGCATAAACTCCTAGCCACACCCCGGAAATAATCATCGGCTCCCTTTGCTACTTCCGCAGGCAGTGAAGAGCTGACCCCATTAGGGTTTGCTAAATAGTTCTGGACTAACAACACACTCCTTCCTGTATTTATGGTCAATCTGTAGACTACATTACAGCCGACGCTGTCTGCCCAGAGCAAAACCCTCCAAAAGTTAGTATGTGAGAAAGCTTTAGAGACGAGATTAGACACCTCAGTGAGCCAGCGTTTTACTATCTTAGGCCTTCATAAAGTAAGCTCTTAGAAGGTAACCAGAGTCAAAGACTCACTCATTTGGCTAACATTTCTGGCTAAAACCAAAACTAGGTCTGGGAACAATTAGAGACGGACAGTTAAGACAGAGGCAGCCCTTGTCAAGTGGCTTAGAGACTTTTAACAAGCCAGTGTAATAAAATGCTATCCGTGCTGTCGTGTCAATATACCTGGGGTACACAGAACCCCATATGAAAGAAGAGGTCATTGATTCCGGGTGGGGTGGGGAGAGGTCACAAGGAGAAAGAAGTTTCGAAGGAGGGGAGACTTTTGAGCAAAGTCTTGACAAGCGAGCAAAAGGATGGGGGTGGGGCACAGAGAGGGAGAGACAGACGGGGCAGCACTCCAGGCAGAGAAATTAGCCCCAGAATGGGCACAAAGAAGTTTTGGGAAATTGCAAGAAGGTCAGCCTGGCTGGGGAGTGGAAGTGGGTGAAGACACATCTCGAAGGGCCCCTCCTGCATGCACACACCTGTGCCGGAAATGAGGCACCACTACAGACAGTTAGGCAGGGAGGTCACTGAATGGCTCCACAGCTCTGTGGAAAATGGCCTGGGGAGGGACAATAAAGGAGGCAGAGAAGCCAGCAGAGGAATCCTGTAGGAGTTCAGAGGGGAAGTGACACATGCCAGAGCTAAGAGCAGCACAAGGGTCACCACGTCCAAGAAGCCTTCCCTGGCTCCCTGGGTCAGATGATGGCAGCTGCCCCTCCCTGAGCACCCCCTTTCTCCATGCCCTATTATGTTACCAGTTCATGTCCGCCTGGCTGGCCAGTGAGCTCCACTGCAGGAGGACCCGATCCACACTTGTCTGCGAGAGCTCAGAGCCCAGCCCAGGGTGTGATCAGGGCTTACTCACTGAGCATGTGAGTCGATCAGTCAGGGATAATAGCCACGGAGACCAAGAAGAAGCCAATAAGAGGTTGGCACCAAGCCACGGTGAGTAATAACAGGGGCCGCGGCTTGGACACCTGGGACTCTGAGACCATTCACTGAGACGCAGGGGAAGGAGGAGGGAGAGGAAAGGTCACGGAGTTCAGGCTCCAGGAGGACCATATAGTCAGGCCCGCACTCCCAGCTCAGAGCAGGACTATTGCTGTCAGCACGAAGGTGTGGCTGAAGCGTGAACTGCACTTGACCTGGGGTATCTGGGCACCTGCCGCGTGCAGAATGGGCTGCCCTGACCTCAGGCACCAAGAGTCAGGTGTGAGATGGTGTTCAGCGGGCAGAATAGTAATACAGCCCATCTGCAGCCTCGGGCCCGCTGGGCCCTTGTCACCCAAATGACCACTCAAGTCTCTGGCCGTAGCAGGCCAGGGCGCCAAGAGGGCTGTGCGGTCAACCCCGAAGAAACCATTCAACAGCTCCGTGCGCGGTTCCCTCAGACACAAAATCACAACAGTAACTATATCCCAGGGGACTTCAAAAATAAACTAACACACTGGGTGCTGTACGGAAACCAATTTGACGATAAATTATATTTAAAACACAAAAACAAAACAAAAAATAAATAAAATAAACTAAGATACCAAAGTATTCTATGGGCGTGATGTGTATATATATATATATGTGTATATATATATATATATATATATATATACACATATATATATATTTTTTTGGACATGATGTGTTTTAACGACCTCTTTTCCCACCAAATCCTTAGAACTACGAAAGCATCCTCCTTCTCCTCCCTCGAGCACAATCCACACCCATGTTCCCATCCCGTGACCGGCTACGCTTAGATTAGGAAAAAGAAACAAAAAAACTGTTACCTCCCAATCGATGCGATGTTACCAAAGGTGTAAAACACCGCGAAGAGGTACAGTCCCTTTCTGGGGACCCAGAGCAGAAGAGTTCCCTAGAAAATAAAGCACAGGGTGTTTGCACACAAGGACCCCCTCCTGCCACAGCCACACAAGCAAGAGCCCACGGAGAAACACGCTCTCCTCCCCGCCTTCCTCAGCACCTCCCAACCTCTCTCTCTTATCCACGCATCTCATGAAGCACCAGAGAGAAAAGGCAGGGCACAGAAAGGGAAGACGACAGAGGGAAGGAGGGCCGGGGTGGAGAAAAACCAAGCGAGGAGAGGGACATCTCACCAGCAGTGAGCAGACAATTCCTGCAGCAAAACACGCAATGAAGCCTTTTATTCTGGTGCCCCAGCTTAACGAAGATGCCTCGACGACCTGAAATTTTCAAAAAAACTGATTACATACACATATATGCATATTATAGCACCAAAAGCAAGGTGCCTGTAATTATTTTTTTGATGAGAGAGCGCAGGGGAGGGATACAGAGAGCATCCCAAGAAGGCTCTGCTCTACCGGCACAGAGCCCAATGTGGGGCTCGAACCCACAAACTGCGAGATCATGACCTGAGCAGAAAACAAGAGTCAGGTGCTTAACCAGCTGAGCCCCTCCAGGCGCCCAGGAAGCACATAATTAGAGGTAGTGCGTGAGTCTGTACTGCGGAAGGCAGGAACACAGAATCCGACTCGCTCAGAGCTCCAAGAGCCCTCGGGAGTCATGGACTCCAGCTCGTTATCCATCCATGAATCTCCTCTCCAGCAGCACATGAGAAGTCACCAAGCCTCCCTCCGGATGAACATCTGCAGAGGTGGGAACTCTCCGCCTGCGGCACAAACCATTTCCCGCCCAGTGATGCAAGGCGGCAGACCCTAGAGCCGCCCAGGCAGGACGAGGTCAACTGGAAAGGCATGGGCTCCACCAGGCAGGGGCCCAGGAAACGGGGACAAGACAGGGAGAGGCACTCAGGCAGTTGGGTCCGCTGGGCATCGTCTCCTGCATCAACCAGCCAAGCTTCGGCAGGAGCTGCTCCCAGCGGCACCTGAGACCTCGAAGGACTGAGGCTCTCGTCCGTGTCGGGCTCCCGGCTGAATGTATTCACTCCTGGCACACACAGGTGTGCCGCGGGGTGCTGGCATCAGCCAAGACACCCAAGTGTGAGACAAATCCCAGTTAATTCATGACTGCCCTACTCTTCTGACTCTCTGCTACCATGATTAGGTTCAAAGGATGCCAAGATTTCCAAAAACAACTCTGCTAAAACAGGGGAGCCTGCAGGTGGCTCCCCAGGGATCCCCCCCCCATGTCAAAGGGGACAGCCAAGCAGTCACGCCAGAGGCCTTCTGAGCCTGTCCACCCGATGAAAGTGGCCACCGCTGCTCCAAGCTGGGGACAGGCAGCTGCCACTCAGACCAAAGGTCCTGCCTCCTGCCCAACCACCCCAGCGTATTCACACAAGGTTCACCTCATGTGGCCATCAGAGTCTCCATCCAGCAACGGGGTGGGGGGGGAAAGCGGCCAGCAACATTTCCACCCGCTGATGGAAGAAGGAGGGGGTGGTAGAAGCTGCAAGGGTCACTAGATTGGCAACCCCTTCAACCGTGACTGCTCCCAACTCAGGAACCTGTTTTCAACCTGCTCTCCAAACTTCCTGTCAAACCAGAAGCTTGAAGAGAAGGACCAGATGCTCTTCCAGGTGTGGCCCGCATTGCTACAGAATGGCCTAACTTCCATTTGGGAGAAGGGGAGTATTCCAAGCAGTTCTGGTTTCTTCCTTCAGGAAGGAAAGTGACATGTTGGTTCCATCCTCAAGCTGAATTTCCACCCAAATGTCACCCTACTGGGGAGCCTGGGTGGCTCAGTCAGTTAAGCATCTGACACTTGACCTTGGCTCGTGGCATGACCTCACCATTTGTGAGTTCGAGCCCCGCATCGGGCTCTGTGCTGGCAGCGTGGAGCCTGCTTGGGATTCTCTCTCTCCCTCTCTCTGCCCCACCTGTCCTCATGCTCATGTGCTCTCTCTCAAAAAACAAAACAAAAACCTACTTGGCAAAATGGGGGCGGGGGGATGACTTTTCATCACTGTGTTTTCCCCACTCTATGTCACCACGCGTTCCTTCACATGCACACTTGGTCACAGGAAGAGGAAACTGCTGTTCCACTTCTAACGAGACTCAGTGAAAGCTAAGTAAGCACTTCTTCTTGCCAACTGGTGAAAATGAACTCGGCTGATGTAAGAAGTCTAAATTCATAGTTGCTGGAAATTGTGCTAGGACACTTTCTGGAAATTAGAGTGCCTAAAATAAGTACCTGCACAGGGGCATCTTGGGGGGCCTCAGTCGGTGAAGCACACGACCCTTGATTTCAGCTCAGGTCATGATCTCAGGTTGGTGGGATGGAGCCCCATGTCAGGCCTGGCACTGTCCTTGCAGGGCCCGCTTGGGATTTTCTCTCTCCCTCTCTCTCTCTGCCCCTCCCCTGCTTGCTAGCACGCATGCCAGCGCGTTCTCTCCCTCTCTCAAAATAAGGAAAGAAAAACATTTATGCAGCAATCATGCCTGGGTGCTTATTTGCTCTGTTAAGCTGGCCCTGACTTCAGCTCAGGTCACGACCTCATGTCCTGTGAGTTCTGGAGGCCCCGCTGGCTAGGCTCTTGGCTGATCTGCTCAGGAGCCTGGAGCCTGTTTCTGATTCTGTGTCTCCCTCTCTCTCTGCCCCTCCCCCGTTCATGCTCTGTCTCTCTCTGTCCCAAAAATAAATAAAAACGTTGAAAAAAAAATTAAAAAAAAAGGCACCTGGATAATTTGTGCAGGCAATCTGTCACGTTGTCTGGCAGTTAGAACAAAGGTCTCGTTGACTCTGGGATTGGGAAAAGAAAGGCTCTTGCCAAAATAAAGAAAAGCTAACAATTGTTGGAGGAAACAGGCTGGTAACCAGAAGGTGAGAACCTAAGACTATACTTTTAGAAAGAAGCCCTGAAACTAGAAGGTTGAAGACATTTATGGTTGCGAGGCATCAATTAAAACTCGTCGGTGGCTCTTCAGATTAGGCACTGGCGGAGGAGTTTTTAGAAATCACCTAGCTTCACACGTACACAGAACTGAACTTTCCGGGCTGGGGAAACCGAGGCCCGCGGGAATGCTACTTGGACTGGAAAAACGGAAAAATGTTACTTGCCTTCCACAAAAGGAGAAAACAAGAGCGAAAAAGCGCCCGAAATAGGAAACGAACATATTCTGGTTGCTATATGAGATCAGCAGAAGCTGACGGGACCATCCCATGGGAACGGTCCAGCTCCACGCAGGCAGCCCCCACAGTGTCCCAAGGCGCCTGCAGTCTATACAGGCAGTGCAGACCGGGGGCCCAGAGACACAACACGGTCTGGCAGGAGACGGGCCACAACAAACCGAGGGTACCAGGGGCGGGGAGGGGGGGAGACCATGGGCCGCCGCGCGGGGCAGCGGGGGCGGGAGGTTGCGGGACCGTCGCCCGGCCCAGGCGACCTCCCCGAAGGCGGCCTCCGCCTGGTGGCTCGGGGACCCGGCAGCATCGCACTGCTGGCTCCGGCCTGGCCCTGGAGCCCGGGGGAGTGTGTCAGGCGGGTGGGGGCGAGCGGCGGAGAACCCCGAGACGGTGCCTGCCCCGCAGGCGTTCCCGCGTTCTGCTCCGGCGCCGCCCCCTCCCGAGCGGGTCTGCGGGGGAGTTCAGAGGTTGTGGGTCATTACACGCACAGGCCGACCGCCCGGAGCAGAGCGCCCGGCACCTGTGGCGGCGCAGGCGGGGGCGCTGGACCCGCGCCCGGCCGACCGGGGGGCAGGCATGGCGCTGCTTTCCAGGAAAGCCTGGAAAGGTTCCCGCTGGCCCGCAGCGGGCGCGCTCACCTCGGCCAGGCCGCCACGGTCCTCGGTGTCCTGGCCGCTGAGCACCTTCTTCAGCTTGTCCATCCCGGGCCCGGTCGGCGCCGCGCAGCCCCGCTCGGCCGCCTGTTGCGCTCGAGTCGGCGGCTCTTCCGGGTGCCGGGCCCGCCGCCGCCGCCGTCGCCACCGCCGCCCGCCAACCACGGCGCGCCCCGCCCAGGTACCTGCCCACCTGGCGGCCGCCCGCGCAAGCGCCCCGCGGCTTTTGGGGCGGGGGCTGCGGCCAGGGGTAGGGGGCGGGCCGCTCGGGGGTTAAGGGCCGCCCAGCCTGGCTCTGCGACCAGGCGTCGCCCCGCGAAGCCCGCCGACTCCAACCCGCCGCCCTCGCGGCCCTCGTTCCTTCTGCGTTGATTGAGCACCTACAGCATTCCGTGCACAATGCCAGATGTTTGACACACAGATGCAGAACTGGACCGACACCATCCCTGCCTTCAAGGACCTTTAGAGACCAGCCTCCTCTCCTGCCGGGAAGAGGAGGGAAGGAAGCACTTGGAGTTGGCTGTGTGACGGGAAGGGGGAGGAAAGCCGAATGTTGGACTTTGCAATGGAGCCAATTTTACTAGTTCTGCAATTAGGCGGGTAGTTTTGTAATGTCCGAGGAACATTCTCCACGAGCGTCTTAAACGTACCTTTCGCTCCCCTTTCTTCCCGGGGCTGCTGATTCATTCTTTTAGTTGGTCTGTTATTCACTCCAAAAAACATTTATTGAATTTCTATGCCAATGAAGAAATACGCAGTTCTGCTCTCCAAGTGGGTAAAGTTCCAGATGCCAGTCTGGATGAATGGATAAAGACGATGTGGCATGTGTGTATAGAATGGAATATTACTCGGTGATCAGAAAGAATGAAATCTTCCCATTTGCGACGTGGAAGGAACTAGAGGGTATTATGCTAAGTGAAATAAGTCAGTCAGAGAAAGACAAATGTCATATGATTTCACTCATGTGGAATTTAAGAAACAAAACAGGTGAACATAGGGGAAGGGAAGCAAAAGTAAGATAAAAACAGAGGGAGACAAACCAGAAGAGACTCTTAAATGCAGAGAACAAACTGAGGATTGCTGGTGGGGTGTTGCTGGGTGGGGTGATGGCCTAACTGGGTGATGGGCATTAAGGAGGGCAATAGGGGGGTGTCTGGGTGGCTCAGATGGTTAAGCAACCGACATCGGCTCAGGTCATGATCTCCTGGTTTGTGGGTTCAAGCCCCGCGTTGGGCTCTGTGCTGACAGGTCAGAGCCTGGCGTCTGCTTCCGATTCTGTGACTCCCTCTCTCTCTGCCCCTCACCTGCTCTCTCTCTCTGTCTCTCTCTTTCTGAAAAAAGGAATAGACATTAAAAAAATATTTAATATGCAATATATGACAAGGTGTAATGCATGTGTGTTGATATACACACAGGGGGAGAATTGTTCTTTTTTCTGTAGTTACTGATGGTTTTCTGAAATGAAAAAAGTAGGATTTTTTAAAAATATTCTTAGCAATATTAAATATCTTGGTCTTCCTCAACTCTGTTCATGACGCCCTGACCTGACCCTTCTATGAGCTGCATACATGATCTGGTGATGTGGTCAAGGTACCAGGGGTCACACTGTGAAAACCATGTCTGTGACATCCATACATCTGAGAACCACTGGTCCCATGGACCCCTCTCAACAACCAGTTCTTCTTTAGCTTTGTTTCCTTTTCCCAAAGTGGGAGTTTCTCAAGGCTGGGTTATCTGTCCTCTCTTCTCTCCCTTTCCACACTCACCTCCAGAAAGCTGATTCCTTTCAGGGTTTACAACACTTTTCTCCAATTCTTTACAGCTTGCAAAGTCCTTTCACTGGCGTCAGAGGATATAGGTTTGAATCTAGACTCCTCCATTTATTAGTTTTGGGACCGTGGGACATTTATTTAACCTTTCCAAGACTTGGTTTTTCTCATTTGTGAAAGGAGAGTAATAGTCATACCTACTCCTAGAGTTTTAGGGGGCAGTAGATGAGCTAATGAGTAGAAAATGCTTAGCATATTTTTTTTTTGACAAATGCTGCCAGGACGGTGAATGTCCACATGCAACAGGATGACGTTGGACCTCCTTCTCACACCATAAGCAAATGGACATCGGCTGGTGAATGGATGAATGAAGTGTGGTAACTCTATACAATGGAATATTATTCTCCAACGAAAAGGAGTGACGTAATGTACACATTCTTCAACATGGATAAACCTTGGAAGCATGTTGCTAAGTGAAGGAAGGCACACATTAAAGGCCACATGTTCAGATTTCATATATATGAGAGTTCCATAATGGGCAAATCCAAAGACAAAAAGCAGTTGAGTGGTTTCCACAGTCTGGGGACAGAGGGTCATGGAAAGTAATAGCTAATGGATAGAGGGTTTCTCTGGGGGTGATGAAATGTCCTCAAATCAATTGTGGTGATGGTTGCACAACTCTGTGAAAACACCAAAACAAAACAAAACATTGAATTGTACACTTGGAGTGAATTTTATGGTATATACATTTCATCACAATAAAGCTGCTGAAAACAGGCTTAGCACAGTGCCTAATGGGTGTTTCCCAATCCATGAATGTTATTTATTAGAAAATGTAACAGATGTTCACTCTTCTCTTGCCCTAAATGTATCCGAGTTTGAACCCAAAATATTGGACTCCTAATTTATCTACAGAACATGGACCCATGTACAAGGTGACTCATCGTGACATTGTTTATAATACCTAAAGATTGGAAACAAGCTAAAAGTCCATCAGTGGGAGGAGTGGTTACGTAAATTATGATACATCCATTCGCAAGAATACAAGGCAGTCATGAGAAAGAAAAGAATGAGGGGCACCTGGGTGGCTCTGTTAAGCGTCCGACTTCGGCTCAGGTCATGATCTTGCGGTTCGTGAGTTCAAGCCCCGCGTCAAGCTCTATGCTGACAGCTCCGAGCCTGGAGCCTGCTTCAGATTCCGTCTCCCTCTCTCTCTACCCCTCCCCTGCTCATGCTCTATTTCTCTCTGAAAAGTAAATAAACATAAAAAAAAAATTTTAAGAAAGAGAAGAATGAGGAAGCTTTGTATATATTGATATGAAACTATCTCTGAGATATGTTGTTAGGAAAAAAAAATCAGATCCAAACAAATAGGTAAACAGGTAGATAGGTAAATGATAGATGCATGACGGATAGGATATGTGTGTAGACATATCTGTATTTACTTACGTATACGTAAAATACATCTGGAAGGATAGAAAAACAAAACCAAGAATAAACAAACAAAAATACTGATGTTACTCTTTACCTCCAGGGAGGGAAACCAGGTGACCATGGGGCAGAGAACTTTTCCCTGTGTATCTACTGACTTTTCAGTTATGAACCTTGCCAATGTACCTGCTATTCAAAATAAACAGAGACACAAAAAGGTTACATATTCTATGATCCCATTTATATGAAATACCTAGAACAGATAAATCTGTGGAAACCAAAGGCAGAATGGCAGTTGCTAGGGGCTGGGGGAGGGATTACTGGGGAGAAACTGGTCAAGGAGATGAAAACATTTGGGAACAAGATAGGGATGTAGCGGCACAATATTGTGACTGGACTAAATGCAACTGAATTGTTCGCTTTGAAATGGTTCATTGTATTCTATGAAAATTTCACTCAATGAATTATTTTTTGAAAGACAAAGAGGGAGAGGAAAAGGAAAAGGGGGGGGGGGGACAGGGAAGGGAGGAAGGAAGGCCGGGGAAGGGAAGGGAGAATGTAGAACAGAACAGCAAAACAGAACGGCAGCTGACCTGGAAGGTTTTGAGCCAACAGCTTTGTATGCAGAGGCCTGTGCTAAGTCAGGAATTGGGGGAGGAGACAGTTGTCACAGTGATCTAGTGATCGGGAAGTCGGAGGGAGAAGACCAGGCATTGGGAAGGACACCAGAGCCGATGGGTGCCCACTGCCTTCCGTCCTGGGCGCTCCCCTGATGTCCAGCGCCATCCTTCACCTTGGGGCTCCTCGATGGCCAAGCTAAGGTTGTTTTTCCCTCTAGCAAAGCATTAGACGGTAGGGGGCTCCTGGAGGAACGTTCTACTCTGTCTGTGCCTCAAGTACTTGTCAATGGGCTGCAGGTTATAAGGAAGTTTAATTTTAGCCGCCATTTCCTTCTTGCCTTTGTTCCCCACATCGCTATGGAGGTGTGATGTTGGGGCTCCTGGAAACTGAGTCTGCAAGGTTTCTGGAGATTAGGCTTTTGATAAGATTGCCCTTTTCTTGTCATTTACTAAGATATTTGTAAACTGATGGAGACCCACGTCCTAGAAGACTATGATCTCTATCCATTAACCATTTGTTTTCTTTCCTTTCCTTGGTCCTTTGGGCAGCCAGGAGTACCCGAGGAATGTCACACACCTCCCACCTGGGGGGGGGGGCGCTAGCTTGCACTCTGTCCCCAGCCCACTCCACGCTCCCTCATCACCCACCATCGCATTGCCATTGGAAGGATCCAGAGCACCAATGTCTCCTGCCCACCCCCAGCCCTCCTCAAGAGCCACCTTCGAGGCTCTCACTCACCGCGCCCAGCACCCCCTGCGTTTGTGGCCAGTCCCAGCTGGATGCCTAAGGCTCTGTAGCCCCAGCAGGGCCAGGAAGCTTCTTTTAACACTTAACACAAAAGGCTGATTATTCTCCACCCCGGACAGTAGTGACATGGGAGCCAAAGCAAGCTGCACAAGCGACCCCCCCCACCCAGGCGGGGTCTGTGTGATATTCCTCAGGCCCTCCTGGCTGCCCAAGGACCAAGGAAAGGAAAGAAAACAAATGGTGAACTGATAAAGATCACAGTCCTACAGGACGGGAGTCTCCATCAGTTTGCAACTGTCTGAATGATTTACAAGAAAAAGGGCACTCTCCAGAAACCTATGGACTCCCTTTCCTGGAGCCCTAACCTCATCCTCCCCTCCACTGGGATGTGGGGAAACAAAGGCAAGAAGAAAATGCAGACAAAATCCAATCTCTTTATAACCTGCAGCCCATTGACAAATACTTGAGGCACAGACACCATAGAACGTTCCTCCAGGAAGCCCCTACCTAATGTTAATGTTTTGCTAGAGGGAA